TGTCTGCAAGCACTCTAGTGTTTGCTCCACATCATTGCTCTGGATCAGGTTTCTGACGGTGACAACAGTGGACCATGCCTGCATAAAGTGGGTTGTTGGTAATCTTCACCAGGGGCACATGTGACTAGGTGACAGTGCAGGAGCACAATTGGGAAACAGTTTTCACCTCATGAGTCGCACATTTTTAAAGATTACCAACAATTTGAAAGGACATTAACAGTTTAAAGCATTTATAAGATTAACAGATTGGATTTCGATCTTTTGAATGGAGAAACATTTACATTTGTCTGGTGTTTAGTTCTTTCCTGTGACCTCCCAATGAGGAGAGTTTCCCTCAGGAAAGGCACAGAGAGCTTGGTCAACAGTTTACTGGAGCCAGACTATGACCTTTGGGAGTAGGCAATGACAAAGGCAGTAAAAACAAATTCCCCAGAGTTGGTGAAAAACACAACCTAGTGCCTGCGGTCAGTGGTGTGAAGAATACGAGGTGTGCCCAGAATATAATGAGAGTGAAGTTCCTACCCTCGAGAAGGGCTCTGTGAAGGGAGAAGCTGGCCAAGGTCACTTGGGGTAGGGTGCCAGGTATAGGTTAGAACACTGATCAGTTGCATTCCAGCCCTGCCAGAGTCGAGACAGTCTTTTCTGTGACACCCTGTTCAAGTGCCTCGCATGAAGAAAAACAGTGACACCACTGTCGCTCTAATGAAGGTTCCCTGTGCGGACCCGAAACGTTAGCACCGTATGATAGTATGTGACATTGGATATTGAATAAACATATCAATACTTTAAAAACCCTTCAAGTGTGTGTCGGTGAATTATTTTTGTTTACCTTATCAGAAGGAACACTTTCAACTCAATTGGCAAGACCTGTTGGCCCAATTGGAAAGAGAGCCGGATTTTTTTAGTCTGGTGGTCACGGGAGATGAATCCTGGGTGTTTGAGTACGATCCCGAGACAAAGAAACAAAGTTCAGAATGTGACACACCCTCGTTACCTTGCCCCAAGAAAAGAAAGCTCGAATTAGCAAATCAATGGTCATTGGTTTTTTGGAGGGTTTTTTATTCACGTGGAATTGTCCATAAAGAGTTTGTACTTACTGGTCAAACTGTCAATCAAAGATGTTACCTGGAAGTTCTTGGTCACTTGAGACAGAGTTTATACAGATGCGTCACCTGGTCAAAAATTTGAATGGGTGACAGCAGCCGCACCTAAATGGGAGATTTGGGCGACCCTTTTTTTTTATTCCCGACAGTTTAATGAATGAGGCGGAATATCCTTAGCTGCTAGCTCTGCAGGGCACCTGAGGACATACCTGAGGAAGCCTTGGGGACCTTCAGTACTGACATTTCCTCATTGACTTGCAGATGACACCTCACAGTTCTATTCAGTGTACTGCAGAGACAAGAGGTCACACGCTCTGCTCTATCACATTACCATCTTGTTTTCAGAGAATGTTAATTAGGGCAGTTTGAAGTAGTGATAGAGAAGTTAGTGATAATTTATACAGCCGTATCGTCTTTGAATGCTGATCTGCAGAAGAAGTTCATCAGAAATCAAGAAAAAAGTATCTTCATGGCAGTGGAGAATATATGTATTTCAGATGCTTGGGCATTGGTCTTTTCTCGATGAGGGACAAAACAGTACAGCTTTGTCCATCTAAAGAACTCAATAAAATGTAACCCTAAGGCCCCGTTCACACTGAGCAATTTATCGCGCGGTAATTCCCGCGATATCGCGGCTATTTACCGTGCGATATTGCTCTCCAATGCAATCCAATGGGGCTCTGTCCGTCGCGGGTTGTGCGTCGCTACAGCAGGACCCTTTTTGGAGCGGATTTTGCCGCGATTCTAGCTTGCTCAATATTGCGCGACAAACGCGCGATTTGCAAATCGCTCAATGTGAATGGGGCCTAAATATGAGTTTTCAGTAGAAAGCATTGCACGCACATACATACATACACACAGTTTTCACTTACATTACACTATAACACGTTCCCCTCTTTTATTCTGTATTGTCAATGCTCTCAGGATGTTCTATCATATCAGTTAAAGAAGAATTTACCTTCAATAAAACTATCCTTTAACCTCTTGCCGTCCGCCCGTTGTAAAAAAAACGGACGGACGGCACTGCAGCATTGGCGGGTTGCCGTCTCCAGACGGCATTTTTTTTCTGCTCGCGCGTGCCCCCTAGCGGGCACGCACGGGCTGAAAAGACCCGACCATTGCACACACCCGTTACCGGGTGTTTCCCATATAGGCGATCAGCGGCTCCCTAGCCCGCCGATCGTCTATATGTGCTCGTCCGCGTCCTCACCTTGAATCCCGGGATCCGCTGTGAATGCAGAAGTGATGTGTATTACATCACTTCCGCATTCACCTGTCAGTCATCTGGCTGCTATAGCCAGAGAGAAGAAGCTGATGAAGCAGATCTCTGCTTCATCAGCTTCTTTTGGGGTCCACAGGTGACATTAGGGGTCCTAGAGACCCCTAATGTCTGCATAAAGAGGAACTGTCAGTGTGCCTTTGCTATTATATAGTATATATAATAGCAATAACAATAAGTGCAAACAAATAAATATAAATAAAAAAAATAAAAAGTAACATATAAAAAAGTAAAAGAAAAGAAAAGTCACTTATAAAAAAAGGGGGAAAAAAACCCCCAAAATGTTTAACTCCATCTTTTCTTCCGGTCCAATAGCCACAACAGGAATATAAAGTAAATGCCTCCGATGAGAGGGACATTCCTGGTGGTCAGCAGGGCCCTTATAACTGGGTCCACCATTAGAAGATTTGCCCTCTATTCCTGTTATGATGAAAACCCAAAATTTGGGTCATTTCTCAGAGTAGATTTTTTGCTGGTGATGGAAGCGGACCATGCCAGTGCAATCTGAGTTAGCACACCTCCATTTATCGAGGGTGACAATGCAGAACTGTTTGGAGAGGACAGAGCATTGTTATCATTAGGGATGTACCGATACCGTTTTTCTGTATCGAGAGCGAGTTCCACTATTTTCTTTTCGGTACTCGCCAATACCGATACCGAAAGTCCCATTAGGGAAGCCGCGTGGCGTGTATTGACTCACCACCCAGCTTCCTGATCGTCACCAGGTGATGAGAGAGCATGGAGTCAGCTTCCCGACCAATCGGGAAGCCGGGAGGCAAGTCATTACACGCCGCCTGAGTTCCTGATTTGCCCGGGAAGCTGGCTCCATGCTCCCTGGTCATGCGCCGTCTAATGACTCACCGCCCGGCTTCCTGCTACCAGAAGTTCCGGTATCAGGATAAGCATTGGGAGCATTTGGGCGAGTTTGAGTACTCGCCCAAATACTTGGTATCGGCATCAGTGCATCCCTAGTTACCATGTAACAGGAAGTACTGTACCTGCACAAGGCCCTTCATGGGAGGATCAGCAGGTATTATTTTAATTAAAAAATAATGCAAATGTGAAAATGTAAATCAATGTGTTAAAGCGCATATCATATTTTATTGATTGGATTTGCAAAATACTTCAACATAAATAGGGCAAATTGGGTTCATTTAACTCTAGTCTTGTGTGGGATTAACTGGGTGGCAAAGCACACCAAGAGAACCTTGAGTTAATTTGGTGAAAGGATGACACTGAGAGAGATGAAAGGTCTGACAGCTTTGTTAGCCTAATAGAACGTGTTTCACAGTCAGTTGGATTACTTCCCTGGGTAAGTGATTTGATGGGTTCAATATGAAGGATGTCGAATGTCACCGATATCCTTGAAAATTAACCACTGACCTCTTCAGCGTATTTACCTTTGGAGGGGTCTGTGTGTGCTGATATGTTTCCCAACCTTTGATCTCCATAATGAAGGATGTTGTATCAGACTTCCGCTGAATTAATTATTAGTTCTCCCGGTGGGATGTACAAAGTCCCCCGCTCCTACGTCTAGGGGCGAATATATATCATTTCACTTAATTATAGTATGGTATTTTTTAGGATCTCTTTATGAAGGTCTATTCCAGTACAGGAAGTCTTTTCTATGATTACCATTGACGTGTTCCTGCAAATGATGGTTGCCTGGCCGTCATGATGGTTCAATAATTTAACAACTTGCTGTTCTGTCAGCTGCGTCTATGACTTCTGATCCTTCTCTTTTTCACAAATCTCTGACAGTTTTGTCTCACATATGTTGCTTGCAGTAACACTGGGGTTGGTGTCATGGAAACCCGTGGTGCACAACCTGTGGCCCTAGGGCTTCATGTGGTCCTTTGGTACCTATTTTGCGGCCCTCAACCTGAAGCAATGCCGGAGCAGTTAATGGCAGTGATTACTAGCAGTCTTTCTAATAACCCATCCACTGTATTTTGCAGCTTTTTGACAGTCTCCAACCATATCTGTGCTGTGTCAGGAGCCTCTGACTAGGGATGCACCGATACTAGTATCTGTATTGGTGCCGATACTGAGTGTTTGCTCCCGATGTCTAGACCAATACCGGAACTTCCGTTATCAGGAAGCCGGGCAACCGTCACCTGGTGCTGAGGGAGCATGGAGCCGGCTTCCCAGCCAAACAGGAAGCTGGGCTCCATGTAAACACTCGCCATCTGGCTTCCTGATTAGTTAGGAAGCTGGCCAATTAGGAAACTAGGTGGCGAGTTATTACCCGCCCCCCGGCTTCCTGATTGGCCAGAAAGCCAACTCCATGCTCCCTCTTCATCAGGTGATGAGGGAGCATGGAGACGGCTTCCTTACCATTTAGGAAGAAGGGTGGCGAAGTAACCGGTTTCGGTATTGGCGAGCACCAAAAAAACAGTATCGGTGCATCCCTCCCTCTGATCATCTCCTGTAACATCCCTGCAATCTGTAAATGTCTCCTGTAGCATGTGTGCAGTCTCTGACAGTCTTTTCCAATATTCCGCTAAATATGTTTGGCCCTCAAAGGGCCCTATATCCAGCGGGTTCTTCAGATGAGACTTCTCCACACTTTTTTTTTCATTTGATTGCTTCATGTTCATCTTATTGTTTTCTTTCAGATAGCACCCCTGGAAATGAAGAAAATAACTTTGATCGGAGCTATATTAAGAAGAAGCTGGAACACGGATTAACACGCATCTGGCAGGTAGTTTTCATTTAGATGCATTTGTCTTTTTAAAAATTTTTAATTTCCCCTCATGGGGAACGATACCCGTCACATGTATATGTGTCTGTCATACATCACGGTTTAAGCTTGTCACAGTCCTAGATAATTTAAGCTGAGAATCATATGAAAACATATATAAGCAGAGGTTACTCTAATACAAAACAACTAGGGCTGGTAATGATTACAATTTTCGTGTTCGATTAATCGAAATTTTTTTAATCGATTAATTTCGATTAATTATAACGCACATACAGATCCAACTACATTAGATTCAGAGGTTTAAGCAGCTCAAATGATTTCTAGATCTTATTGATCCAGATATACAGGCAGCTAAAGGTATATACAATCTTGACTTTTTCCATGAATATCGAGCTTGGGCTTATCACGTCATCCTCCCGACCTTCTCTATTGGTTTTTTGAGATAATGGCTAATAGATTAAAATTGAACTCTGGCCCTCCCTTCAGTCTTGCACAGCTGTACCGGCTCCTCTCCTGGACTGGAATGGCTTCCTCTGATATCACTGCACAGTGTGCATTCTCACAATGTGCATTAGAAGCTGCAGCAAGTCAGATAGAACCCGCCTCATTTCCTGATAGAGCCCGCCTCATTTCCTGGCTGGAGGATGTACAATTAAAAAATTAAATTTAGTGCACAGAAACAGAATATAATACCCAATTTTTTGTTAAAATATAAAAGACGGGGTCACGCCGGGTAAATTGATACCAAACATGTCAAGCCTTAAAATTGCGTGTGTATGTGAAACTGCAAAAAACGAAGATACCCCAAATTTCCCATAGGCGACGGTTTAAAAGCTTTTACTGCTCATCAGTTCAGGTTAACAGTGATTGATGGGCCTATTATTATTGCTCGTAAACCGATGTTTGCGGCGATATGTAACATGTGTGGTGGACTTTTCGTTTCGTTTTTGCACGTAAGCACATCCGGCGCGTGTTTGCATTGTATGTGTGTGTTTAAAAAAAAATTTATGTTACTTTTATTTTTTTACACTCAACTTTATTGCCATCACATAGGGGGGCTAAGAAGCACATATGATAGCAAATATGATGCAACAGGTCCTCTTTATGGAGACATCAGCTAGGAACCTCAAAGAAGCTGATGAAGCCTAGATCAGCTTCTTCTTCTGGCTCTAGGAGCCGGAGAATGCACAGTGACACCGGAAGTGATGTAATGCACATCACTTCTGGGTCCAGTGATCGGAAGAGAGAACAGCGGCTAGAAGCCCGCTGATCTCCTTCCGATCTGTCAGGGGAGACCCGCCATGCCAGTCCTGGACTCCGCTGTCCGGCGGAGGGGGGCGAGGGGCACATGGCGCCACCCCATACAGACGATCAAGCGCCTGTACAGACGCCGGATTGCCTGTTGTCTAAAATGATACGAAGAAGTAGCAGCCGTGTTCTTGGTATAAACCAGGGGTAGCCAAACTCCGGCAGGACAAGCAGGACAAGTATGTTACACCCCCCTCATTACCACGTCCCTTTTTCAGTTTTCAGAGCTGTTCAAGTTCAGCTGAGAATTCTTCTGTCATACAACTCTGAAACAAAATTAATTTTATATCATTTTTATTGGGACAAATCGAGCTTTCTTTTAGTGGCATTTAATAACCGTTTTGTTTTAAACTTTTTACTTTTTACTATATAGAGTAAAAAAGATAAAAAACTTTGAAAAACCAAAACGCTTGTTTTTCTTACTTTTGTTTATAAATTATGGCAAATAAAAATGTCAGGACAGTATGAAAATCCCCGAAATGATCCCTTTTTGGAAAGTAGACACTCCAAGATGATCTGGGTTTTTATGCTATATGGTTCCTGTGATAATCACAGCGATCACAGGACACAGAGGCGGTCCGATCGGCTTTGTGTCTAAAGCCACTGCTCTTCACTATCTGACAAAAGCAGGAGCAGCGGTTACAGCAGCCACAGCCGCACGCAGACAGGCGTTCACGGGAGGACGTAAGAGTGCGTCCTCCCGGAACAATGGCCGTAGTGTATATATACTGTACAGTGGCCAGCCTGGAAGTCGTTCAATACGTTTTACTATCTGCTAAAACTTTAAATTCATTAACGGGCATGAAGAGCCGCAAACCAACACTGAGACCTAGTGATGTCACTGGGTCTGAAATAAGGTATCTAATGAATATAATTGAATATTTTTAATGGGGGTGGGACCAGGGAAGGCAAAATATAAGCAGATTAACCTCTTGCCGTCCGCCCGTAGTAAAAAAACGGACGGACGGCACTGCTGCATTGGCAGGTTGCCGTCGCCAGACGGCATTTTTTTTCTGCTCGCGCGCGCCCCCTAGCGGGCACGCACAGTTCATCCTGTTGGAAGAAATTGAGGAAAAAACATAGCAACTGTATGTCATGTCCAGAAGCCCTCCTTGATCCCATACACCTCTTCTTCCTATATGATTTTATTTTTCTGTCATCCTTTCTACTATTGTTTGCTCCACGGAATGCCTGAGAGGTGGATAGCCTACTACGGCTTTGATTCCTCTTCTCTTCTTACTGTATTGCATTGTCTGAGGTTGACGTCAGCAAGGCCATAACCGTGCTATAGAAAGAGACAGGTTGTCAGAGATGTTCTTCCTATAACAGTGAAAACAAACATATTGACCATGCCAGACACATGGCCTCAGACCATCGTCTACACCGCTACATTGTTTTAACAAATGTTTTATGTTGTGCTTTCAAGGATGTTCAGCTAAAAGTGAAAACGTACCTACTTGGAACCGATATGTCCAACTTCAAATATGACGACTTCATTATGGTCCTGGATATAATTAGCAGGTGAGGGTCCTTTAGCCACTTCAACTCCTTTTTTTTTTTTGTTCTGTTTGTATTTATTTGCATTTGGAAGTGCATAGTAACCAATCAGCTTCTGTCTTTCATTTCCAAAGCTTAACTGAACAATATAAATATAGAAGCTGATTGGTTACTAAGGGCAATTACTCCACATTCTGTCTGCTGCAGTTCTGCTAATTTGTCCCTAACCCCCCTCCCCCCCCCTCCCCTTTTTTGTATCTCTTTTGGCATTTTTTTTTTCCGGTTTTTTTTTTTATTATTCTCTATGGAATATATAATCAAAAATAAATCTTTTTTATTTAATTTTTCTATCAACTGGTCAAAAAAAAAAAAGTTTTAAGGCAAATAAAAAGTATACTTCGTTGCTCCAGTTTTAAATGAAACTAAATATTTTTCTGGTACAAAAAATGGCACAGTTATTTGCAAATTCATTTTACACAAAAAAATAATAATATGAATGGTAAAAACTAAAATAGAAATAGGAAAAAAAGTAGCCAACTCCCAGAAGGAAGATCAGTGTCATTCAATTCAGAGATGATTTGAGGATCTACAGCCGAGTGATACACAAATAAAATACATTTTTGTTTTTAGGGTACTACGCTTTTAGATTTAGTTTAGTGTGACTTTAAGCTTTCGGTAGGTGCAAGGCGGCTCAGCATGGCAATAGATTTCACATAATAATACTGGCTCGACTGAAAAATGAATTAAAGGATTTTAAAGGAATACATAAGAGAATGATCATTTTTAATATTTATGTTTTTCAACAAAATTCCTCGAATTAACATTTCTCTATCAAATAATATATACTAATATGTATTATAATAAAAAAATATCTGTAATTTGGTTTATTCCAAGAATAAGCTGATAAACACTTAAACATATATTTCCAGCACGGCACTTTGAATGTACACAACTATTTTATAAAACCACAATCATCGATTCATATGGCTCTCCAAGTGCATTATCTGTAGCAAGATAGTTACCGATATAGATCACTCCAGGCACCAGATAACAAGTCCGTGTTATCAATCTACTTGGTATATATTTGGATCCATCATAAATGCAAAGCCGTAGGTACGTACGTCATCTGAGTGTTTGTATTGTTCAAATTAATGAACCCTTGGGTCACTGATATATAAAACCTCAATGTATATCACCGCTGCATATAGAGCTACAATCTTTGCTTCCAAGTCCGAAGCCATATTTCAGATTCAGATTAATATTATGATGTATTAGGATCCTGTATTGCTGTATATCCATAGAAGCCTCTTGTGGCCTTATTAATAGTGAGGTGTTCCCTGAGAGAAAACGCTGCAAAACATAAATATAGTAATACGTCTCCGGCATAATTGGTAACTATCTTGCTAAAGTGTACTTAGAAAAAAACGTATGATTTAATATAAGGAGATTATAGTTATATTAGGGATGCACCGATATATCAGCCGCCGAAACATATCGGCTGAAAATTGCACTTTTGACATAATGCCGAAAGTGCTATTTTCTGGCCGATACAGCGGTGCATCCGTTCTTTCTCTCCTCCCCGCTGAGCGCTGCTCTGTGTCCCAGCAGGAGGAGAAAAACTGTCAGGCAGCCAAGCGCCGTGGGAGGAGAGCGCTGTGAGCGGCCGGCATCTCTCCTCCCACACCGCTCAGCCTCCTGTCACAGATCAGCATAGAGGTGTGTGGGCGGAGACAGCCAGCGCTGTCAGAGGAGGCTGAGCTCTCCTCACACTCCGCAGGATGGAGAGCGGGTACAAGGAGTGATCAGGGATTGCTGAGTGTTTGTAGATAATTGAGGACATGGTATGTGTAATATATCCTCAATTATGAATGAATGGGAAGTGATCTACATCACCTCCTGTTCATTCATGATTGTGGTTATAGTAAACACACTCTGTCCTCATATCATGAATGAACAGCAACACTCCGTATAGAGGATTCCTGTTCATTGATAACAGGGGTTGCAGAAAAAGAGATTGAGGGCTCTGTGTTCTCAATCTCTTTTTCTACTTTACAAGAGAAATATCAGGGGTCTGTTTAGACCCCCAATATATCCCCAAAGCCCCCAAAAGTAAAGTAAAAAATTAAAATATTTAATTAAAAATGAATAAATAAAATATATCAAAAATTGTAAAAGTTTATAGAAATAAATCAAAATACAATATATTTTACAAATTTGAAAAAGTTAAAATAAAAAACGTTTTCGGGTTCGACCTGACATTTTTCTTTATTTCGATTTTGTTCCGGTTTTGAAATTTGCATTTCGGTGCACCTCTAGTTATAGAAGGTGATTTAGGAGTCCCGTACATACAAGGTGCCTTAATATCTGTAAAAAATAAGTCAAGGCAACTGGACTTGTTGTATTTTCTTGAAGACGTTTCACTGGTCATCCGACCAACTTTCTCAATTCAGAATTCAGTCATTCTGAATTGAGAAAGCTGGTTCGACGACCAGTGAAACATTTTCAAGAAAAATACAGCAAGTCCAGTTGCCTTGACTTATTTTTACGCTAGACCATGACCTGAATGAATGAGAACCTTCACAGACAAGGTGCCTTTAAAGGAAATAACATTTTAAAGGTTTTTTTTTTTTACATGTTTGTCAGTTTGTTAGAATTAGAGATTTTTTTTTTTTACGCAGTTATAATACATATTCGTTTATATTATTTGATAGATAAATCTCCATTTCAGATATTTTGTCTGAAGGAGTTTACATTTATCAAAGTATTGGTATATCAATATACACTATTGATTAGATACACTTTCCCTGAGTTTAGTGGTTTTTGCTTTTAAGTAACTCTTTTGTAACTCTTCACCAAGAACCAGAATCAGACTCCTTCCCTATAGCTTGCACCACTTCTCAATTTTTTCATGAGTGCCCTGGGACCCCAGCAGTTTAAAAACATTGAGCAGCTGTACCCTCTTGTCTCCAATGCCGCTGCTTGAACCTCGAGTCTTGGTAAAGCTTCCGCCAGAGCCTTCACTGAGCAGTAGGTAAAAAAGCGGCACTTGCAAAGGGGTCTGTCCATCCAGGACTTTATTTGTAAAAAGGCATAACAGCAGCAAACAAACAAATGCTTACATGTTTCAGCCCCCAAACTGAGCCCAAGGCCTGGTTCACACCTGGGCATTTTACAGCGCGTTCCTACGCTCTGTAAAACGCTCAACATGTGAAAACCAATGATTGCCTATGGGCACGGTTCCCACCTGGGCTTTTTTCAGCGCGTAGGAAGGCGCTGCAAAACACCCTACGCCCAAAGAAGTACAGGATCTTCTTTGGGGCGTATTTGTTGCGCATATCCATTGGGAAACACGCGTTTGTCGCGTGTTTCTCTTTAACCACGAATCGTGGTAAAAACGCGCGACAAACCTGCATATTCGATACGCCTAGGTGTGAACCCAGCCTTAGTCGTAGCCGGCTACAATTAAGGCCCAGTTTGGGGGCTGAAGCATGTAAGCATTTGTTTGTTTGCTGCTGTTATGCCTTTTTACAAATAAAGTACTGGATGTACGGGCACCCTTGCAAGTGCCGTTTTTTTACCTATTGCCCTCGGACCCCAGGGTCTTGCATGTGATGGACAGGCCAAGTAGCCAATAGTGAGGTATGAAGCGCTGTGGAATGCAAAGTTGGTATTGTCCTATCAGGATGTTCTGGGTTTCTGGTGTCTCAAGGCGCTTGAGAAAACATGAGAGGCGAATGTGGTGCATGTTCGTAAATCACATGGCAGCTCCTCGTAGTATATGGAATGTGTTACTTGATGTTGATTTGAATCTTGTGTTTTGTGATTTTTTTTAAATTGCATTTCCTACAGAAGAATTTTTTTCCTACACAAAAGGAAATTAATTCAGGAGCATGAAGGAGACTTTTTCATTCGATTTCATTCATCCTGACAAAACTCACCTGCTGGATTTGCCGCATGAATTATACATGTGTTAATAATACATACTTTAGAAGCTAATCCAACAAGGGCTACATGGTATACCACCGGCATGTTTTTAACTCTTAGGTGTCCAGAGTAGGGATGCACTGATACAAGTTTTTGGGGAATCGAGTACGAGTACCAATATTTATATTTTGGTACTCGCCGATACCGGTACTTCCACTAGCATGGTGCCGGCCTCCAGGCCAATCAGCATTGATCCGGCCAATCAGCATCGATCTGGCCAAACAGCATGGAGCCGACTTCCTGGCCAATAAGGAAGCCGGGCGGTGAGTCATTACCTGCCGCACGGCTTCCTGATTGGCTGGGAAGCCGGCTCTATGTTCCCTCGCGGCTGGAAGTTCTGGTAACAGGGTAAGTTTTGGAGGACGAGTACTCACCCAAATACTCTGTATTTGCACCGATACTAGTATCGGTATCGGTGCATCCCTTGTCCAGAAGTCATTTAAAATCTTAGGTGTTCTGGCCAAATTTAGCACCATCAGTATGTGTCCGTTAACTTGACTAATTTGCCTACAAAAACAATTTTTACACTTTTATGTTATATAAGGGCTCTTGCACATGACCACAAGAGGGCTGCACAGCACACATCCCAGCATATTACTTTTGGGGGGAGTGACAGGTGCATCGATCAGCTGCCCAGTGAGTCATCATGTTCTATACAGTGTATAGGACATGAGGACACCATGGGACTTTCTATCGTTGGAACGGAGGCTGGACCGGTCTAGGAGACAGCTGGGATTGTGATTTCAGTGACTTCTTCTATAGAAGAGCTTTAATAGAGCCAATGCTTAGCCCCACACTGACCATTATAACTGCTAATTTATTTATTTTGTCTCCATCTAAGGCTAATGCAAGTGGGAGAGGAGTTCTGTGGCAGCAAGTCAGAAGTCTTACAGGAATCCATAAGGAAACAAAGTGTCAACTATTTTAAAAATTATCACAGGTGAGTCCCGGTGACATGCATTCTGCGTAACAAGCCAATCCTAAACATCAGCTTGGTTTTTGGGAACAATGGAAGTAATGTGCAAAGTGGCTGCTAATGTAGAGCAATGGGCCCCACGGCAGGTTTGGACATGGCCCGTATCTCAATTTCTAGGCAGGGAAAGGTACTTTTGCCTGCATCTTTATAAAAGAAGTACAAATTACATTTTCGCACAACCTTTTTCAAATTGTTGGGTTTTTTTCTCCTTGGTACTTGCATTGTAAAACAAACCCTTGTGAACATAAATGTGAGCATGAAATCACACCACACAAGGGTGTCGTGGTCTTTCTCTGAAGTGGAAGTATATCAATATCCTTGAATTCCCCCACAGGGTGAGTAAGACTCCTGACAGGGGCAAGGTAACCTGGTCCACAACGCAGATAAAAGATGGTTGAGCCGGAGGGGTGAAGAATGTGTGAGATGATTGTACTCACATGTAATCAGGTGGATATGAGCTTTGGGAGTTGGGGGTCTTGAGGTGGTGCGATGCTTCATGTAACCTGGTCCACCAATGCCAAAACCAGACAAACCCCGGTGTTTAGTGACTAGCTGAAGTAGGTCCACCAAGTTCTTGGTGAGGGCTCTCCCAAAGAGAGACCCCTGATGGGGAGAGGAAAAAGACCTGAAGAACATAGAACCCTCTACCCAGACATCAGAATGGGCCCTGAAGGAACCTACAACCTCCAAACTATTCAGTCAAAAAGTGCTCCCAGCATTGAGCTGTGGATCAGGACGGTGGCTCTGCCCTGCATCATTAGTGCCACAGGAATGACTTCACTGGAGTACAGATATGGAAAGGTTTATTTGCATTTCCAGGGAACATTGCCTGAAGTCTCCCTACCTGTATTTTATCACTTTTGTGATGCTTCAACCAGTGTTCTAGTTCTCCTAATCCTCGCTTCCCTGGCTACATCCGGACTGTTAGAACGGTCCCCACAGCCCCCCCTCCTCTGGGCTTTGGCGGTCTAGGGACTGCTGATTTCATCATGTCCTGTTAGGTTACATTGACATTCATCAGAGGTGAGGACACCGAGGCACAGTCCATAGTCGGAGTGGAGGGGAAGAAGAGGGGAGCACCAATCGTTAGTGGAGCGGAGACCAGGCAATGAAATCTGCTTTACTGCAGCCCCAAGAGATAAACAAGCACTTAGACCTTCCAGTGCAGGCGTAACCCCTCTGCAAGGGTGTTTTTTTGGGGTTTTTTTGCCCCGAGATGTGCTTTAACCCCTTCATGACTGAGCTAGTTTTTAGTTTCTGTTATGCGTCTTTTATTTCTGCCTTTCTGCTTTAAAGATTAACTCCAGCAAAATAGTTTGCCTTTGTTTTGGATAGAGTGAGCTAGGCTTAGAAGCAAACTTAGAACCTTTCAGATTTTTATAGCCGACTGTGTCTTCGTTGAAGAAATTTCCCTTCATTTTGTATCATCTCTACAGGAAGTGAGGGAAAGTCTCGACTTTGGAGTCCTAGCCAATAGAAAAAAATGACATAGTGCCTGGAATTACACTTTAACTAAGTGTGACTTTAAATAATGGTGAAGTTCATGGAGGAACTTCACCCTTATTTTAGAACATAAAAATAAAGTTCGCGCTGACTATGGAAATATAATATCCAAGACTTGGCGTCAGTAATTAGAAAATCAGATTTCCATTTCCTAAACAAAGGAATTAATTGAAACCTCTGAGTTTTCCCTGAGCTGCAGTATTGCCGGTGTAGGCATTTTGGTGTGCCTATTCTGACTGACGCTAGCAGGAAATCTCATCAGGCAGTTTAATGTGTTTTCCCTGATGCCTGCCCGCATGTCTATATCCCGGTTGCTGTCCATTTCAATCAATAATGAATTCTTGTAGTATAAAGGAAGCGGGGGGAGAGAGATCTACTTGGATATGCATTATAAACAGCAACGCTGTATACGTGGTAAGAGTTCCCAGCTGGTAAACGATTTATTTATACAAAATGTATACACGTCTTCCAGGAAAGCACTGCTTAAAGGGATGATTTGGTCTTTTTATTTGTATTTTTATACACTCGTGAGAATTTTGCTGTCAATGAGTGTGAAATCAGACTGGAAAGAGGAACTTCACCTGTATATTAGAAACTGAGAAGTAAGACAATTTGAGAAATGTTTAGTAATGACAATCACACACTTAAAGATAATTGCCGGCTTTTTATTCTTTGCATACCTTATTTTTATTTTCTCCCCATTCTTCTCACGGTGGCCATTTGAGTGGCCACTATGGGCAGATGAATCCATTTTCCTTTACTTACTGGAGCTCTGGGTCTACCTTCTGGAACATGTGACAGCACACATCATCTCAGGGGGGGAATGCAACGTCTTTCACCTGAGATCTCTGGAGATTTTGTAGTTTACAGTTGAGACTTCTTAGGAAGGCACTGGTAATGTAGCCTGCCCAGGATGCATCGGTGATGCCAGGACTACATCACCAGTGCCTTACTCAACCAGGAGGTGGAAAACAGTAATTGTAAGTAAAAGTTTGTTTAACTAATGAGTGTAAGATGATTTTATATCGGCATGAAGAGTTGCATGCTGGTATGATTTTTAGTGAAAGGGGGTAAATTTCTGCTTTAACCCCTTCGTGACGGGAGACGTACACTGTACGTCCAGCCACAAAGGGACCAAATGACTTGTCACGTACACTGTACGACCTATGGGTGGACACGGCCATACGCTGTCGTATGCTTACCCGAGCTGCACATCTATGCGGGTGTCCGTGATCGGATGCACACAGTATCCATCCTGTCTGCGTCCGAGTACGGACACCAGCACGGATGTGCAGCTCAGGTGAGCATACAACAGCTTCCATAGAGAAGAACAGGCTGCTGCGTACAATCACACGCAGCACCTGTCCTTCCCGGGAACGGCCCGATACAGCTGTGAGGCCTTAGTCCAGTATAGGAGCATCTTCCACTCCCTTTGCTACTGTTTGGGTAAAGCAGTATTAAAAGAGAAATACTTGCCTACGGCCAGAATCTGGTCACTCGAGTGAAAGCTTTTATCTCACCGATTCATCCCTATATCTGCAGCTCAGGGCAGGATCTGAGCTGTAAAGCAAGGGGGGCAGTCAGTGCCTTTGTCATACAAAGATACTGCCGTAGGTCCTGCCTTAGATGCGATGCCACAAGATGCCCTCTTTAACTGTTATCAGCCAAAAAAGCCTACCCTGTGCACCTCTGCGATATAGTTTTACTTTGTTACTGTGGCCTGAATTTCCCCGACCTCATGATTAAGACTCGCTAACTGCTATTCCACTGACCAGTGACCAGTAAGAGAACAATCATTGCATAAGGAGTGGAAGAAGGTGGAGCATAACCATTTGGTGAAGAAAAGCAGGATCCTGAAAAAAAATCAGAGAGGGGCACAGAAGAGACCTTTCTAGCTGATATAGGTAATCCGTTATGAAGTACAGGACTGATATTATTTTTTTTGCTTTCCACTCATCACTTGAGGTGGAGTAGGGAAGCTGAAATCTGTCAGGTAAGGCGGAATTCGGTATGCAGACCTAAAATCTGCCAGCAGACCAATCTTGTTTTCGTCCCTTGTGTCATGACAACGACGTTTAAAGTCTTCAGATCCCCGTGAGGAACCTTCGGATAGCCAATGGGAAGCATACATAGCACCAGGAAACAATGTGAACACTGGAAGGAGGACCCTCCTACACTGCAGGTTAGAGGACTCCTGACCCAGCCTGTCATGTGACTAAGGAGTGAGGAAATTGGAGCTCTTGTTCTAATAAGATGGTTGGTTTGAAGAGGTAAAGTGTTGTAGAGGGGGGGCCAGATTAGCCAGCTATAAGGGCCCATTCGCACCAACATGCCATGCTAAACGCACGGCTGCTGGTGTGCATTGACAGGCCAAGTGCTGAGCCCAGATTCTTTGAAATGTCACAAATGACGCATGTCATGCACCAAGTTAAAAAAAACAGCAAGCTTTGGGGCTGCACTGGTTGCTTCTTCCATTGCAGCCCCAATGCATAGAGATAAAGCATGCCGTAGTTTTTTTCAGCGCACACCACCACAATGCTGTGGTGTGAACTGTGCTCATTAAAACGAGGCATGCCTTATCTCTATGCATTGGGGCTGCAATGGAAGAAGCAACCAGCGCAGCCCCAACGCTTATGGGCCCTAAAGCAATAAAAGGTACTGATACGTTTATTTACATCCAGCATATCTGTTTATTTAAAGTAAATAATTAAAAAAGACTATGCATGCCCTTTAAGAAAACGGTTTGACAGTAAATATCAGAAACCGTGTGCAGATGACTTTATTTCTATTGTAGAGATAGTATGCTGGTTATGGGTGCTATTATGTGGTCAAGCGTTAGTATGTCCTGATCAATTCAATGCAATTATAATTGACAATTTTTGTTTCTCTCTCTTTCCATCAGTGTGCCTGTACAGTGTAAGTCAGCTTAATCAGAGTTGTCACAAAACCTTTCTGCTCAGGGGGCACCAAAAGTTCCTCTGTTAGACGGTTCTGAAAGATTAATGAATTGTCATTTGCCTTTGTACTCAGTAAAGTGCACCGGATGAATGCAAAGACAGAATAAAGCTCTTTAGCATTTAGCTCCTCGACTCTCGACTCCTCTTGTGCCTCTCGAATCACTGATTCTATTTCCAGTCTGTTAAAGGCATTTTCAGGTTATTGCTAATTTATTCATTTTCCAGTCAAAAGAGATTAGGCCGCAGGATGAACGTTCAGAATGTTTTTGTGTCATCATTGTCGTTTTTTACTCTCGGTTAATTGCAGCGTGTTATCGGTTTTTCAGAACGCGGCTTGAAGAGCTTCGAATGTTCCTCGAAAATGAAACATGGGAGCTGTGCCCGGTCAAGTCCAGTTTCAGCATATTACAGTTACATGTAAGTGCGTTAAAGGGTTTGGGGGTTCTAGTTATCGACTTGGTTATGGTTAGAGATAGGGATGCAACTATACCAGTGCCGATACTTGGCATTTACATGAGAACTACCAGGGTGGCAGCGGTTGCAGCTGGGACTGGGTTCTGGTGCTCCACCACTGTCCTGAAATCATTAGTCTGTATTGTTTTAGAAAAACTGTCACATGACAATAAACAAAAATGTATCAGTACTTGTATCTGTGAGTACTTGGGCAAGTATCAAGTTAGTGCATCCCTAGTTAGAGACTTGTAGCTTTTACCAGCAGTTGTCTGGGTCCTCCCTGTCCGTGCTGGATTAGATAATGTTTCCAATGCAGCAAACACAAGTACAGCGTAAGGACCCGTCCCTTTTCCCCATAGAAAAAAAAATCTTCCTGATTTGTCACAGGAACTTCCAGTATGGTCATAAGTGCTAGTTATCTCTTTTTTTGTAAATATTAGTATTCACGCTTGTGGATGCCCCCCCCCCCCCCCATGATTGTGAAACAATTGAATATGACCCCTAAATCTCTAAGTAAACCATAAAACAACCCCAAAACACACCTATCTGTTACACACAGATAGGTGTGTGTTGGGGTTGTTTTATGGTTTACTTGGAGATTTAGGGGTCATATTCAATTGTTTCACAATCAGGGGAGATAGCGCAGTGTATTGTTTAAGCACATCTCTTTTTTTGGTTGGGTAAACCACCACACCGCTATCCCTCTATGGCTGGTTACATGATCTCCGCTGAAGTGGAGGATCAATGGTCAGACTGGTTGATGAGAGGTTTCCATTTTCACTAATTCCACAAATTATGACCTAATCAAGAAATACACTAATGCCAACCCATTGCATAAAAAAGAGAGAGCCGAGTCAATAAAAAGTTCTTTGGTTGGCAAGCACATAAATTTAAGGAACAATTTCACATCCAACTGATTTCTAGACTTTTGGGTAGCCTAAAGAGTCTGCTCCTGCTCCCAATTTGATGGACTGACATGATGTCCAGGGAAGGATTGAGGCATTGAGGGCTCTTTTCTTTTGCTTCCCCTCCACCCCTATCGCCTAACAAGCACACACACCAACCAGATAGAGAGGGCCCCTGCTCTCTAGCTCAACATCACAGGCCACAAAGCAACTTCAACCCCCAAAAGATGAACCACAATTTGGGAGAAAGCACCATTGCACTCCTAAAGACATAACTCGCACCCCAGGTTAGGAACTTCTGCTCTAAATGAAGTGGGTCCAACTGCACATATGCATTCGGTTTATTGATATCTTTCAGGCTCTTGTCTAAATCTGTATTAAAAGAATACGTCAAGGCAGAAATATACAGTACATAGCAATTTCTATGTATTTGATCTTTTTAAAGAATTTATCAAGTACAAGGAATACTGTTTCTACTCCACAAGGAGTCAATTTCCTAATACAGTTGCATTTCCTTGCATGCCATAGCCCCCTCCTCTTCTGGGAGTTTCCAATTACATGAAAAAATGACTGTGCTGGCCAAGATTCTAAGTCCTTTCCCTCACCTGCCTACATAACTTTTTATGGAGCAACCAGGGAGGAGCAAGGGGAATCGTATGGAGCACATGTGTCAAACACAAGGCCCACGGGCCGAATCCGGCCTACCAGGCCATTCCATGTGGCCCTCCCACCTCTCCTGCAGCTTTAAATTTATAAAACAAAGCTGGTGCTGTATACAGGCGCGGGGCTTCACAGGAAGGCTGCCGAGGTCTCCTTCTCCACCACTGCCCGCACACCGCCAAGACTGACCGGGACCCCTGGTGAGACCACACAGCCACCTGAGAGTCTGCACAGCCCACCGTAGACCCCGCATAGCCACCTGAGAGTCCGCACAGTCCACCATAGAACCTGTACAGCCACCTGAGAGTCCGCACAGCCCACCATAGACTCGCACAGCCCACCATAGAACCTGCACAGCCACCTAAGAGCCCGCACAGCCCACCATAGAACCTGCACAACCATCTGAGAGGCCGCACTATTACACTAATTGCCATTATTTTTCCTTCTACTTTCAGAGCTAGTTATCTAGTTATTATTAAAACTGGTAATTATCGAATGCAGAGGCAATTATTTAATATGATAAAGAGTAGATACATTTATATAGTCTTACAGATGCAACCGGCCCTTTGAGGGCAACCATGATGCTGATGGTGATTGGGTGACAGTTTTGAGTCTGCTGGCATCACATCCGGAATGGCGCTGCCAAGCTGCGGTCTCAGGGATTTTGGATGTCTACTCAAGGGAAGAATTTTAAGTTAGATAACATGCATAAAATATTTAAAATGGAAATTTTTGTTAAAATCTATGGTATGGTGATAGGGTCTCTTTAGGGGTTGTACATCCTCCTGCCGAAAACCTTGCTGTGTGTGAGTTCAAATGGCAGTGTAACAATTCGAACTTGAATTGTTTGTCACATCACCTGTAAAGGGTTTGAGCGATTCTTTGATCAGTGAAATAGTTACATAGTAAGTAAGGTTATTATCAAGGGGGCTTCTAGATTCTGCTATAATTCAACCCACATTACACCAACGTCTTTCTTGAGGTGTTGCAGGTGGAGAAAGATGCCTTGCAGGGTGCAGCATACCCTGTGACGTCATGCCCCGCTACATTTTTATGGGTTTTTTGAAGATGACAGTACACATATAAAATTGCACCCAGTCAATTTGGTTAAAAGGGCTACATCGTATGGTTCCTTAACACCATGTGCAGCTTTAAGGCATCCACCAAGCATGTTTCAGGCTGGGTTCACAGCTGGGCGTACCATAGGCACGTTTTTTCTGCTTGTTTTTTAGCACGTTTTTTTAGTTCAGTAAAACACGCATTCGATGCTCGTTTTTATACCTCCCCGTTCGGTATGATTTAAAAAAAAACAGTTTTCCTTTATTTTCTCTTTTTTTTTTTACGCCGGTTCCGCCCCCCTGCGACGCGGCCGCTCGCAAGGGACGGAAGTCAGCAGCGGCCGGAGGACACAGCAGGAATCGCGGACAAGGTGTGGCTCGGGGTTACCGCTTTGTTAACGCCGAGCCACACTCGGGAATACCAATGTATACGCGCGGAAAAATGCCACAAAGAAGCTCTGTTTGGGCGTAGGGCGTTTTTCAGCGCGTTTCCACGGGCTGAAATACGCCCCGGTGGGAACCATGCCCATAGGGAAGTATGGGATTTCACTGTTTGAGCGTTTTTCAGCGCTTTGATCAGCGCTGAAAAACGCCCAGGTGTGAACCCAGCCTAAAGGATTTGTGTACTTTTTAATGTTGCCCTTTCAGACACATGAAAAGACCCTCTTCACCCTAAACAGTATTTTTCTTTACATTTTTTTTTTTTTACATTGAAACTGATGGAGACAAAAACGATTATAATGGGGTATGTTGCTAAGTTTGGGGTTTGCACACTTCCTGCTGGGTTTGCCAAAGCCGGTTTGATCCTAACGTGGGCAGATCCGCTCATCCCTAATGGACGCATAAATTCTAGGAACATTATACAGCTCTTTCCTGGAAGAGGGTTTCCTCTGATCTCTTCTAAAGCACAGCAGCATTGCCGTCTGACGTCGGTTAGCCAAGGTGGTGAATAGACTAGTCATTCGCACAAGTAAGAGATGTAGAAAAAAACAACAGCAGCAGCCAGGAACATGAATAATACGATCACCGCTGCTGGCCCTCTTCTTCCTATCTATTACGCCATTCTCTCGCTTTCACCACATATTAAAGCTTAATACACAAATTGAAATTCTGACACTGTGACAGCTGCGGTAATGTCTTTGTACATGATTGTGTCCACGTTTTGGCGATTTAACAAGAAAATAAATTAGAAGGAGAGACTTTGGTGAAATTGTCTGTCTTGTCCTGTCCTCCAGAACGTGCAGCAGGGTTACACACCGATATTAAGATGCCTAAAATTTTAATTGTTATAAGTAATTATGTCATCTTTAAGCTGAGAAGATCCCTGGGGAAATAAGAGCTGCATAAAACTTAAAAAAACAAAAACAAATCTTAGAAGTTACTAGTTATAACATTTTCAAATAAAAACATTTATATTGACGTGGACATTTGTAACTTTGCAAGTCCGAATGAATAAATGGCTGACAGGTCACATTCTCCAGCAACAGGTATCATTTTTCAAAAAAGTTTCACTTTTTATTATTAAATAGCTATCTTTGAACGCCAGGCAAATGACTTTGCCTAGACTGAGGCCATCCAACTTTGTAGGAACTCACAAGGTAAGAAGCTGCAGCAAGGGTTGATCTGTGTCAGATGTTTGGGAACACAGCCAAGATCTGCACACACACCAAGATGTACATGACTGTCATCTCTGAGCCAACGTCTTAGTCCAGAAAATAATGGCTGAATAAAGATGGTTCCATTGTCATGGGGAAAAAAAGATGAAGGCTTTGCCAGGGGGAGTTCTGTTTTCTGTTAGAAGCAATACATATCTGAAAGTCTTACACTTAAATATTACTTAGTATCCATGCTCTTAGCAAGAATATCTTGGATGCTAGGTCCCTGTACCTGCGGTGAAGGGGGACAACTAAATTACCGTATATACTCGAGTATAAGCCGTCCCGAATATAAGCCGAGGTACCTAATTTTAGCAAAAAAAACACAGATCGCTTCTACAGGCCGGTAAAGTGCCTGACACACCCGCCGTGTAGGCCCAGGACCTGACACCCTCCTGCAGGCCCAGGACCGGCATGTCGGGTGCCGGCGGGAAGCTAGAGAGGAGATCGGCGTACCTCCCTTCACCGACCTCCTCCCCGCTCTATGGTACCAGGAGCGGCGCGGATTGCATCACTTCCGATCCCTGAGCTTTCAGTGCTCAGCTCCCACTGCTTGGCTCCGCGAATGCCAAAGTGAGAGCAATATTTATTCGTATCTCTAAACTGATGACCTGTAGGGGCTTTTAAAGCTTTGTGTTTGGACTTTTTGGGGTACTGAATTTTGTCGCCGTTTCCCAGACGCACACAATTGGCAACCTTGGCATGTTGGGTATCTAGTTACTCATTGTAACTTCATCCTTTATATTTACAAATAAAATGAGTATTTAATTGTGCTTTGGGGCACTACATTAAACGTAAGTGCATTTTTTACCAAATGTTGGGGTTTGCGCTAATATCGTGGAACATACAAATTTGCAACTGCCGCCATTTTATTCTACGGGGGGTCACATGTTCACTTTAAGCAAGTAAAACCAACAGCAGGAATTCAATAGACACATAAAGGGGTCTGCACGTATGTAAGGTTATCTTTGGAGTGTCCCAGGAATGCCAAAATGAAGGGCACTGACTTAGGGCCCATTGACATCAAGCCTAACTGTTGTGGTGCATTGAACTCAGACACTTTACCTATGTAATGTAAAGGCAGCCCATTTGTTTAAATGGGCTACCATGCACCACAATGGAGTAAAAATTGGATCTGCACCATTTTTGTTAATGCAGCGCACAGCAACACACAGCAGTGCATTACTGTGGGTTATGGTGTGCTGCAATGCAGGTGCATTACCTTAGTGCTTTGACACCGCAATGTATGGTGCGTTATCAAATGGGCTCTTAGGCAAATGCCTTACAGAACTTGGAATGTTGTACTCCAGCCTCCAACACCTTACCACTGCAGAAGAAGAAAACTGCTCACATTAAGGCTGCTCAGGCACAGAATACTTTCAGGTAGGGTTTACATGTACTTTAACGGAATAGGACAGGTTTCCCTGCTGTGTGATATGGCAGCGTTAGAAGAAGAGATGTCTCCGAGAAAAACAAAAATTAGAAAAACAGCCCTTGATCAAAAGCTTCTTGTTTTTGAAAATGTTTGTCTTTTAATGTTTTGTTTTGTTTTTTTACTTTTCCCTTCCCATCTGTAGGAATTTAAGTGTTTAACTCAGTCTCGTTCCCCATCGATGTCACCAAGCAAACAAGCGTCTGCAACTGACTCTGCTACATTGTCCTTGTTTGATCAGTATATCAGTGAAGGCAATCCTTTCGAGATACAAGCTTCTATGAAGGATGATGAAACAGAGGATGTGCTGGCAGCCAATGGGGTAAGGTATCCTTTTATAGGCAAAGATGCTGATAAAAAGAACAGAAGGCAGTTCGCTAAACAAAACTAAACCCTAAAGCTAGTTCTTGGATAGGCTGATGTCTCCCTGAGAACGATATGCAGAAAGAGGGGTGCATGTCCTTTTGAAAAGCTCCCTTTTTGAATATAACAAGCGTACTTTTTTTCCCCAATTTAGAGGACCTACATGTCCTCTAAATTGGGAGGTTTAGAGGACATGTATTCATAATAAAGTATGAATAGCAAACAATATATTTTCTAATTCTAATTTCCATTTTATAATGTAATATTTTATTTGATGATGTCACTGCTGTGCTGCTAACTGTTCTACTTGCTGGAGAGAAATCTGTACCTCAGGATCTGCATTACAAGGATCTCCCTGCTTCTATGGATCTGTGATGTCTGCACATCTCCTGCTGCTTTTTAATTATTCCAGCAGTTATCAGATCAGCAGGGGGATGGCTCTGACATGAGGGGGCAAAGTTTTGCTTCTTTATTAGCATGGCCCCCGCCATACAGAGACCATGCAGGACAAGGCATGGTAAGTCAGTAATGGGAAAAGATCAGCCCCTTTTGAGAACACAGGTTATAATGGTGACTTAGTCGTTGCCTTCTGCTTGCCTTTTTGGGAGCAGCTTCCACAGTTCAAGTCCTCTGTAATGACTTCTGGTCATGAAGGTGTTAATGCAGCCTTTGTAGAGCTCATTCTTCTGTCTCTTATTACCAACCATCTGGAAAGTGAGTGTTTTGCAGATCCCAGTCGGTTCCATGCATTACAATGCCTTTGCATTGCCCAGCTGTGTCTGCCAAGCTGTGCCAAAAGAAGGGCTGAGCACGAGTTTTCTTTTCCTCCTTAAAATAAGGATTTTCAGGGTTACATTTGGAAATTATGCAATAGGTTTTGAAGTCAAAAATCCTTGTCCCCTCCTCTGCCATCTTCAGAAAACATTTTGTAAAGTTCCCCATGGCAGAAGGGAACATGGATAAAGGTTGTTTCATCCTCTCTTTGTTGACATTGTGTTGTATGCATTGTGCAAACGCGCTGAAAAACGCCTTATGCCCAAACAAGTACAGGAGCTTCTTTGTGGCATTTTTCCGCGCGTATCCATTGGTATTCCCGAGTGCACTTATTTCTCTTTTCTTCCCCAGTCTTCTGACAGTGGCCATGTTTACTAAGGGCAGATTGCTAGGATTTCCTATTACTTCTTGGATTTCTGGCACATGTGACCAGACATGTGACCATGCACATCATCTCAGGGTAGGAAAATGCCTTTCCCTGAGGTCTCCTGAGATTACAGATGAGATTTCCCAGCAATGCTCTGCCGATGGCAGGGCAATCCCAGTGTGCATTGCTTTGCCAAACTGAAGTCATTTTGCCCTTTCAAAGCAGGAAGTGAATGCTCTGCAAGTGTCAGTATTTCACAATCACAGCATTTTTACACCTGCTGTCTATGTTATTATCAATCATCATACATAGAGGGATGCATTGGGAGAATTAGATTTTTTAGTCTAAAGGTCCGCTTTAATATTTGTGCATGTCTGAACACTGAGAAAATGTTTTGTTTTTTGGCTTCTGCTTCGTTGTGATTTGAAGTAAGCCACAGAGACAATGGATAGGCCTTTAAAAGAAATGAATGGAGTGTAATCCCTGTGCTCTGTTTTCACAGTATGAATCTGATGAGCTGGAAAAAAGTGCGTATCAGGAGTACGACAGTGACAGCGATGTACCAGAAGAGCTGAAGCGGGATTATGTGGATGAGCAGACCGGAGATGCGCCATCGAAGAGGTGAATATTCACACCTTTACTAGCTTTTCTGTGCTGTATGTTTGCCTTGGTACATGGCTCAGGAAACCTGGACAACAATACTTAGCAATGGGGGGAATACATCTAGTGGCTTGAGTCACCTATTTAAATGAATCTTCACCTTCAAAGTAAAATTCAGATATTAATGCAGGTCTGTATTTATTAATAATCATTACATTTATTTTCTTGGTGACTGCCAAGTGTAGTCTGGAATGTGACTTTTCAGGCACTGGGCTCTGCATTGTGGCACTTTGCAGACCTTTTATTAGTTAACTGCAGAGATCTTTTCAGGTCCAGAGCCATGGCGCAGCATCTTGTGTGACCCAGTCTCTGAGGACTCGCAAAATCCCTATCCGCACCAGCTGGACAGGTATATGAGTACTTGCAGCCTTGCCTTATGTTGGGCCTATTTGCTGACGGCCAAGTGGCACAGTATGTCTTTTCAAAGACTCACAGAAGTCAATCTTACTGCTACAGTTGACCTCAGCCCATACCTCCCATGTCCAATGGGGGTGTTTACCTTGTATCCCCAAATGGAACCAACGCTTAATATGGAACCTGGGACCCCTATTATTATAGAGTCTTTCTATTCGGAATCTATTTCCGCTCCCCAACGTGGGGCCTAGGGTTTCCCCCAAGTCTGTTAAGGGCTTTTTAGCTATTTGTGTCCAGCTACTGGATCATTCTGTCCATAGGGGTTCTAAACGCATTCCAGTGCCATCCCCAGTAGAGCGGCTCTCCTGTGACGGTGAGCCAAGCTGGGTCAGCGTCTCTTATCATTTCTGATTTACATTCAGAATCCCAACAGTCACATGTATGTGTGTGTGTGAAAAATTTGTCAGGTCAAAACCGAAAATTACTTATTTTTTCCAAACTTTTTAAAATTTCTTTTTTTATTATTTTATTTTTACTTTACTGTTGGGGGCTTCAGGGAAATATCGGGGGTCTAAACAGACCCCTGAAATTTCCCTTTTATAATAGAAAAAGAGATTGAGTACTCTTTGTCCTCAATCTCTTTTTCTGCAGCCCCTTTTATGAATGAACAGTAAGCCTCTATACTGAGTGTTCCTGTCCATTAATACATTGTGGATATAGGGTGCTTACTATGTGCACAATCATGAATGAACAGGAAGTGATGTAGATCACTTCCTGTTCATTCATAACTTTGACATAGTAAGCACACTATATCCAATTATTTACAAACACTCGCCAATCAGCTGATCAGTGAATGTTTGTATACCGCTCTCCATCCTGAATCGGCTGTCACAGGAGGCCGAGCGCGTGGTGGGGAAGACCACCTCCTATAACAGATCACAGAGCTCTTCTCCACTCACTGCTCCCCATCCTGACAAAGGAGGCGGAGCTGGAAGGTCTGGGAGGAGAGTTCCGCCCCCTGTGGTGATTGACCCACCCCATTTTCCAGGAGGCCGAGCCGGGAGGGGCGGGAAGAGAGCTCGGCCTCTGGCACCGATGACAACTGTCATCGCCCCACACCACTCGGCATCCTAAAAGCTTTTCTCCCTGCTTGGTGCCAGCTGCTGCATCAGAAGGCACACAGAACGGCGTGTACTGTGTGCTCAGCGGAAAGGAGAGAAGTCAGGGATACACTGGATTTTCAGCCACATTTTCGGCCATCATGGCACTTTCGGCAATTTGCCAAAAGTGCCATGATGGCTGAAATTGTGGTGCATACCTAATATATAGACACATGCATGCATACATACACAGGTGATCAAATATGCCCTGTTTCAAACAAACAGTCTGACAAGTATTCCACAAAGTCTGATGTTCCTATTGCCCCCACATTGCCATGCCCGTGGCACTCGCTCCATTTTAGACTACCTAGCAATGTGGAGTGATCATGCGACGTTCAGATTTCCTGTCCACCATCTCCCTGCTATGAGTAGCTTCATGCAAATAGGCGATTATTTGTCTTGAACATTTTCTTTCCATATCAGAAAATCCCAGAGATCAGCATTCATATTAATCCTGACCTTTACCCATTCTCTTTGCGTCTTAATGAAGTGTTTCGAGAGAGACTCTGCGCAGCAGGAAGCGATCAGATTACAGCCTGAACAAGATGAATGCGCCCATCCTTACCAATACAACGCTCAACGTAATAAGGCTTGTTGGTAAGTAGAAGCCTGTTGCTGATTAATTACCTAGTACAAGCTTCCCTTTTAATTTATGCCGCGCATCTCGGAGACGCCCGCTCAGAATAGTGACAAGCAGGTAATATAAACACAGCCTGTCTTTTTCATAATTGAATTCTGAAATTGAAATTACTGTCTTACTTTGTTACGGTTATTAGAACAAGCAGAGCAATCATCGGGAGGGCTGCAGCTGTCTTTTTAGGGAAAGCCATGTTTGCCGGGCTATGCCTGTAAAATGAAAAATTTATTTTAGCTATTTGTATTGTTAAAGAGGAAATTCAGCAAAGAGTATATACCATCTGTGTCCCTGCTGGGGAGATTCGCCCTTCCTATTTGTCCTGATAACTATTGTCACCAGTCCTAAAGGGATGGAAAATCTAAAATATCTTTGTTCATGAACAGTTAACATATACACACACTATGTGGCCTAATGTATGTGAACCATTACACTTACTTGTATGGACTGATGTATGTGGACAGCTAACCATTACACTTACTTGTATGGGCTGACGTATGTGGACACCTAACCATTACACTTACTTGTATGGGCTGACGTATGTGGACAGCTAACCATTACACTTACTTGTATGGGCTGACGTATGTGGACAGCTAACCATTACACCTACTTGTATGGGCTTACGTATGTGGACACCTAACCATTACACCTACTTGTATGGGCTTACGTATGTGGACACCTAACCATTACACTTACTTGTATGGGCTGACGTATGTGGACACCTAACCATTACACCTACTTGTATGGGCTGACGTATGTGGACACCTAACCATTACACTTACTTGTATGGGCTGACGTATATGGACACCCCTTTCACATTATTACATTCTACAGAATTTTGCACTTAGTACCATGTGGTAACAGTTTGGTGAAGGACCTTTTTTGGTCCAACATGACTGTGTCCTTCAGCACAAAGCAAGCTCCATAAAGATATGGTTTGATGGGTTTGGTGTGGAGGAACTCCAGTGTCCGGCACAGAGACCTGACCTCAACCCTACTCAACATCTTTGGTAGGAATTGGAATTCCAATTGCAAGTCAGATCTTCTCACCCAACATCAGTACCTGACCTCACATATGCGGGAATTCCCACAGACACACTCCGAAATCTTGTGCAAAGTCTTTTTAGAAGACTGGAGGCTGTTATAGCTGCAAAGGGGGACCAATTCCATATTAATGGCCATGATTTTGGAATAAGATATCCATCAGGTTTATATAGGTGTGATGGTCGGGTTTCCACAAGCTGTTGGTCATATACGGTGTATGTATTTACATGTATAGATGTTTAACAGTTGTTGCACTTTAATCATCTTCTGCTGCAAACACTTTTCAAACAGTTTTTGTGTTCCTTTTCCTTTCTTCGTATTTCAGACATTGCTGTCTCATTTGCCTTATTATCATTCATTATTTGACGTTTATGTCTAATATTTAGTATGCCTTTTCTTGCAACATATTTGTGTTCTAAGTAATCAACCTTAAAAATTGCAACAAACCTCTGGTACAACATTTCTATCATGTCAAGAATAAATTATGGCTGGTATAATGGCCCGAGATGGCTTCTAAAGTGATCTCTTTGTTTCACCATCCTACAAAGTGTTTATACCCGCTTAAAGCTGGACTCCGGGATTAGCAAATATTGTCCAATATTTTAGTCCTTTAATCTCGATGAGCTTTGTGTATTTCTTCCAGATCTGTGCAGTAATCCAGTGTGACACTTGGAGCTTCCTGTAATAAAGACCAGTCATCGCTGCTCTCCCTGCTTGTGCAGGGTGACTGGTCTTGTCTCCGCCCCCTCCTGTAATAAAGACCGCTCACTGCTGCTCTCTCTCCTTGTGCAGAGTGACTGGTCTTGTCTACGCCCCCTCCTGTAATAAAGACCAGTCACTGCTGCTCTCTCCCCTTGTGCAGGGTGACTGGTCTTGTCTCCCCCCCCTCCTGTAGTTATCTGCAGGCATCCTGTAGTGGGTGGAGCCCAGTGATGATGTCACTGCTACTTTTATGGTAAAATATGGGTCTGCAAAGGTATTTGATGCACACAATGTGGATTTATATTCTTTGATGCTATTGGGGAATATATTTAAAAGAAGGTTTTTGTGCCTGGCGTTCAGTTTTAACAATGATATCCTCCTCCTATATTTTTTATATCATTCTGAATAATTCCTCTTCTTCTTTTCTTTTTTTTTTTTTCTTTCTTAAGGAAAGTATATGCAGATGATGACTATACTGAAACCCATCGCTTTTGATGTGATTCACTGCATGTCGCAGCTGTTTGATTACTATTTGTACGCCGTCTATACGTTTTTTGGAAGAAATGATGCAGTAGGTTTTTTGCTTTACTATCCATTCACATTGTATTTGTTTAACAGATTACCTTGTTAAAATAAACATTTTATAAGATAACTATATAGGCTGCCATTTTAGAGTGTAAACCATCATGGGCAGGGCACTCCTAACCATCTTGTCTTGATTTGTATTGTAACTCTAAGGTCTTCCTTATATTGTAAAGCGCTGTGCAAACTGTTGGCGCTATATCATATATAATCCTCAATAATAAGAAGAAGAATACATCTTCTGAAAGGTTGTTTTTTTTGTTGTTTTTAAAAAAAAAAATTATTCAGAAAATGTAATCATTATAAACCTGCAATGCTCTTTTCTGTCCGGTGCTGTCTCCCACAGACTCTCCTGCTCTGTGTTCCAGCACCAGTCCTATTCTGGCTTAAAGGACTTCCCATGGTCTTTCAATACTCTACCCGGGGTGCAGGTCATTATTGACCCACCACCTGAGCACTTGTTATGAGCACTTCCAGATTCACGACTGTCCGATTGTAGACGGCTGTGTCCTAGGAAAGCAGCACATCAGCTACTGTCTGTAATCATCCTGTTTGTAAGGAAGGGAGAAGAAAACTCCCTCCAGCTGTGGTGCAACTACAAGTCCCATTGGGGCAAGGCATTGCAAGACTGTGACCGCTACAGGCATGACTCCCAGAGGCAGATGCATGATACAATTTGTATTTGTATATAATTAAATATATATGTGTGTGTGTGTGTGTGTATATATTTATATATATATATAGATATAGATATTTTAAAGGACCCCTGCCCTTGAACACATAAAGATATGCTCACCTAGGGCGCATGTTCATGCCTAATGTATGCATAACACAGATATTGCCTCGCATGCCATATTAAGAGGACTTGAACACTGACAACAACAAAAACAGTAACCCGCCAGATTAACCCCAGCAACTCCCAGCATGCCTGTGTGTTTTGCTAGTGTCCTGGAAGGATGGATGTTTTTTTCTCTACTGAGAAAGTTAACCATTTTATTAGCGTTTTTTTCTTATTCTCAAGATAATTTTTCTCTTCAAGACTTTGCTACATGCTGCTTGAGCTAGTCTCATTATGCATCTGTCCGGATCCTTGTGCCTTTGCATGTCATGCCCTCAGTGTGTTTTTGTGATCTTCTCCTAGTTCTTCTTTCTGCAAAACAGAGGCATGCTGGGAGTGGGAGGGGTCATCCTGGCTGTTGACTGTTTTGGGTTTTTTTGTTTGCCAGTTTCCAAATCCTCCAAATGATCTCCAAAAACAGATTTTACGGTTGATACCAAAATCCTATTTTAAACTGCCGCCCATACCAATTGTAGGTATCATTTTATTTTGCTTTTATGTGGCTTGTGCAATATTAAGACTTGATATATTTGGTATCTGTTTACTCACACAGTCCCATCTTTTACATTCTACAGAAGAATTGGGGATTTTATTGTATTTGTGTGCAATAAAATGAATTTTAGTTTTTGGGGTTTTTTTTAAAATAAAAATATAGGTTTAATAAATACTTTAATACAATCCAAAACTGCACTCCATACAGCGTACTGACCAAAATAGAGAGGGTGCTCGTAGTGGCAGCAACAAATGGTGCCCTGCCTAACAGAATCAATGGAAGAAGTATCACCAGCACTCCATGATGAAGAAATCAACGTAAATGTATTTACATAATATCACATAGGTGATGGAAGGCCAATGTTTTGGGGCCACGCAAGGTCCCTTTCTCAAGGCAACACAGTGACCTCCTTGCATTGAGGAAAGGACTCTGCGTGGCCCCAAGATGGCTTTCTTTGAGCTATGTGGAGCTATGTAAATAAATTTACATGAATTTCTTCATTATGGAGTGCTGGTGACCCTTCTTCCATTGATTTTATTTTATGGCTCCCCTGCTTTCAGAGAATATATAATGTTTTAAGTAGTCTTCAGGCCAAAATGCAGATCAATGTGTGAAAAATAAGAAAATTGATACGCCAGCGAAAGTAATAATCCTCTTGAGTCATTGACCTTGGACAAGTATGCAATAAGTAAACTTCTACCCAGCATACTTGTTTCAGTGTATTGAATCGGGCTACATTCATATGGGATGTTCTGGGATTCATATGGCAAGAAGCTACGGACTCCTGCGCCAGGAAAGCCAGGGGTCCCTGTACTCATTGAAGTTAATGACGGGGTGACAGCAGCTGTTTGCATGTAATAATACATGGTACTGCTGTTGAGGGTAGATGATTGTCCCTGGATGCATCTATTCTGCCCCCCGGGGACAATCATCTATCCCGATCCACAGGTAATCATGCCATGTACATGCAAATACGGCAACTGTCATTTTTTAAATGGGTACAGCGGCTGCACCTGAATGGGCACACCTGGGATTCTTGCCATAGGAATGCCAGAATGCAGCATAAGTTCCCATGTGAATGGAGCCTTAAAGGGTTGAAAGTGAATCACCAGAACAATTTGAATAGATGGAACAAAGTGCAATTCAATGTAAAACACACGATCAGTACCAGGGACAGCTCCGAACATACTGAATATATTCGTATTTAGAGAATAATCTAAAAATGAAAAATGTATGAACTGAGAGAAAATGACAGCGTTAACTCTCTTGGATCCCAAACAAGACCTTCCCCCCTATGCACAAATACCAGAAATCCATCAGTTTTTGGGCAGTCACACGGCGATGAGCAGGTCCTGAATCCGGCAGAGGACGGCACCAAGTAATGTCAGTGCATTCACCACGGAACAGCATTCTCAGGTGAATCCCGGGAGGCATGATGACGTGTCCCCAGGGGGATTGTCCACTACTCCTTGGGCTCACAGAAAGTGGCCAGAGATAGCGTGAGAATTACAGAAAAAGCTGATTTTTTTTTTTTTTTTGGGTGGGTTTTTTTTCACTCCTACCAGGCAATTCATTTACCCTCCTAGCTAGAGTTGGGTTGCAATTCCAAGCAACATATGTGGAAAGCTTCTTCACTGAATCAATTCCTAAAATTGTTTTTAAAGGGTATCTGGGGATCAAAATAGCTCTACCATTAGAAACCATTGAAAGGTTTTCACTAAGTCTGAAGTTCTTTTTTTTACCTCTTATATTATGCTAAAGTCTTCCCTGATATTCTTCTGTTTTATTTCAGTTTGAATCCACTGGGCTCGGTCTAAGCAGCAGTCGGCTCAGAACAACATTAAGCAGAATCCAGGAAAGTCTCATTGATTTGGTAAGACTTTGTCAAGTGTGCATAAGATGTACATTTTGGTTATAGTCACAGAGAGGTTTTCCTTCTTGGAGACATACCTGAGTTGTATACAATGCGATTCTGCCATTTCCGCCTGTGTCAATATAAGAAGTGCCTCAAAGCTGAAGCACTCTCAACCTGTTTTAATAATAATAATAATAATTGTTGACCTTGCAGTGCCGTTCTGAATGTTTATCCGAGCCGCAGAATAAATCGATCGGTGTGAAGGCCTGAATTACGTGAATGTGGTGTGATGTACTCAATCTTGCAGGAAGTAATTAAATTACATTTACAGGGTTATTCACTAAAGGGTGAAGAGTTTGGAGAAGGCCGGAGAAGGGAACAATCTAGGACAACATCGCTGAACTGGAAAGTGAGCTGAATTGGAGAATTTTTACAAATCAGCGATGTTATCCTAGATTGTTCACTTCTCCTGCCTTCTCCAAACTCTTCACCCTTTAGTGAATAACCTTGCCAGTGTACATTTCACCTGAGGTTAGGTTTAGGGGTTGGATTCAGGTAAAGGATCAGACTTTAGTTTAAAGGGAAATTTACATGTAAAAGTGATCAGATTGCACTAAATAATCTTATTAATGTGTGTTAATGTTTTAAATTAATTGAATTCTGTATACTGGACATTTATGTTAATTACATATACGGGCTCTGCGTCCTACTTTTGGGGTGCAGTTAATTCCTAGCTAAGCCTCCGTTGTATTGGCTTTGTTTATTTGTAGGAAGTGTCTGCTGAAAATGCTGGATCCTTGGCACCGTCTGAGGAAAGAAAGGAGAAAGTACCGAGTCCACATCTTAGCCATCTGGTGGTTCTGACATCTAGCAATACCCTGTATGGGCTCTCCCAGAGAGTGGTGGCCACAGAGTCCCTGTGAGTATGCCCTGCTAGGTGTATTCATCCTGAGTGACACACTACGGACCAGCAGCAGTAGTGTGCATGGCCAGTCTGCATGATCCACAATGGCCAGCACACAGAAATCAGAATAGGGAAAGTCCTACCCTTTCACCCATCTAAGCTTCAATGACTGTAGATGAAGCGCAATGTTTTTTTAATTTTCTTATAAGTGTAATTCTACTCTTTCCATTATTAATAACTTATTAAAGGCCATTTCTTCCCAAAACTGATCTTTAATACAGACCTTTGCTTTGCCCATACAGGTAGCAAATGAATCCCTTTAAGCTGAACTCCATTATAAGCAAATATTGTCTAAATACAAGAAATACAAGAGTCATGTGTATTCTTCCTTGAATCTCAGCGTGCTTTGTGTATTTTTTGGTCTGTGCAGTGACCCAGTGTGAAAACTGGAGCTTCCTGTAATAAAGGCTGGTCACTGCTGCTCTCTCTCCTTGTGCAGGGTGACTGGTCTTGTCTTCGCCCCCTCCTGTAATAAAGATCGCTCACTGCTGCCCTCTCTCCTTGTGCAGGGTGACCAGTCTGGTATCTACCCCCTCCTGTAGTTTTCTGTAGTGGGTGGGGCCTGCTGGGTCCCTCCCACAGCTTTGCTCTCTGCACAGCCTATATACAGCACAATCATGTCACTGCTAATTAGACAAGCTAATATCTGTGTTTGTAAAGGCATTTGATACACACAAAGCTGATTTATACTCTTTGTGGTTATTGAGGAATTTATTTAAATTAATGTTTTTGTGCCTGGTGTTCAGCTTTAATGCTACCTCCCTAGCAGCACATATTCCCCTCTCCTTCACACACTTGCCACTCTGGGTCAGCTAATGGGAGTGAGGAACGGAAGTCCTATATCAATTCTTTAAAGCGCTGCGCAAACTGTTGGCGCTATATAAATCCTGTATAATAATAATTCTTAAAATGACACTAAACTCAGGAGTTAAATCTTAAAAATACATTCAAAGTACCTTAACTATTAACAAAAATGTATCTTATTTGTGTATCACTCGGCTGTAGATCCTCCAATCATCTCTGAATTGGCGCTGACACTGTGCTTCCTTCTGAAGGGGGGCTACTTTTGTTCCCCATGGTCCCTGTGTGTGTTGTAAAGTAGTCACCGCTCCAAGCTCACTCCTGTGATGGACTCTCATGTTTAGTTCACTTATTTGTATTGAGATTGTAGTCCATCCCGGGAGTGAACTTGGAGCGGTGTCTACTTTACAACACACACAGGGACCATGGGGAACAAAAGTAGCCCCCCTCCAGAAGGAAGGACAGTGTCAGCACCAATTCAGAGATGATTGGAGGATCTCCAGCCGAGTGATACACAAATAAGATACATTGTTGTTGTTAATAGTTGAGGTACTTGAATGTATTTTTAAGATTTAATTCCTGAGTTTAGTGTCACATTAAGTCTAGTTAAAGCTTACACAGGGCTGATTCACACTGCTGATTAATTCTTACCAAGCCATTTGAAAAGTGTATAAAATGCGCTCATTAAAGATATTTTGTTCTGTGATGATTTTCTAAAAGGCTTTTAACATTCTTTCAAGTAGAATCTTTTGATATTGTTCTTTAATGGAGGTCACTTCAGCAGCCTGTTTTCCCTGTATGGTGCTCACTTGGCAGCTACATTGTGAAGACCCCGAGTGCTATGTCAGCCAGAATATGCTAATGATGCTGCAAGGTGTCATTGAAATGAGCATCCTTCACAAAGTAAAGGCAGCCTGGCTACCCGCGACACCATTATGCATCCTGGTAGGACTGCAGGTTAGGAAAAAATGCCCACTTCATTTAAAACTGAACCTCAGAACACACCGCTGTAAATTTAAAGGAGAACTGTGAGGTGAGTGAATTTCACTCAGCCTCATAGTTCTAGCCGACCTGTGACAATGAAACTGTCACAGGTCGACTCAGTAGATTGGGAAGTGAGCGAACACATACCGGCGCTCGTTCACTTCTCGATCCTGTGCCGGCAGAGAGCCGTGACAGGGGAGGGACAGGATTCCTCCCTCCCCGCTCCGATCCTCCAGCGCTGACTGGCGGAACGGACGTGGGAGGGGGCGGGTACAGCTGGCTCTGCCTCTAGATAGGCAGAGCCAGCTGTCACTCACGCATCTGGGTGGATCCAGACATAGATGTCTGGATCCGTTCCGGCTGCGGCGTCTCAGTATACCACAAGGAACAGCTCGCGGTATACTGAGCTTTGGGTGACGGTAGGACGCTAGTTTGTGTCCTCCCGTTACCCTTAGGAGAACCATGGGGAAAAAAGCCCTAACCCCATAGTTCTCCTTGAAGTTTAATTTGCTTACATTTCTCCTTCCCTGGATCCTCTTCCCTCATTAACATTCTAATTATATTATTACATGAAACCTTTCCCCTTTCATTACATACCTTATTTTAGACCCAGTGATGTCATCTCCAGTCCACTCTTTTTATTCATTGGATTCAGTTCTTTGGCTCAG